ATATGTTGTGTCTGTATTGTCCTTTATCTCTAAGATTTTTTTGATTTCCTCCTTTATGTCCTCTGTAACTCATTGATCATTCAGTAACATATTGTTCATTTTCCAGGTGATGCAGGATTTTTCCTTCCTTCTTTTATCATTGATTTCCAGTTTCATTCCATTATGATCAGATAAGGTGCAAGGTATTATCTCCACACCTTTTATATAACTTTATATAATTTGAAATAATTATTTGTTTGCAAAGAATAATTGAATGTTGTTAAAAAAAAAAAAGTCCAACATGCACTAACCTTGTTTTAGAAGTGAGAGAAAAAGCAATGGATGCTAAATGATAATCAAAGACATTTAAATTAGAAGCCAGTCATCTACATAAGACTTTCTCATCTTGTCATCTTGATAAGAAAATGTTTTAGAAACACTCCAAATGATATAATATGGGAAGTTCAGAAAATCACCAAGACTATCCACAAGACTATCCATTAACAAGTGAGTTGCAGCTAAAATCGTACAAAGTGAAAGCTAAAACAAGAGCAGATCTCTGTTTTGATTCTTTGGGACATAGTATAGCTTAGCAGTTAAATTCATGCTTAGAATACCCCTGTCCCTGGGTTTAATCCCCATAAAAAGGGGGAAAAAAAAAAAAAGATGAAGCCAACCATCATTTTGAGAGCTCACTTAAGAGTCATACTATAGACACATATAGATCATCTGGAGACTGTTTCCCCAGAATTGCCATTGTGTTAAGCTTAATTTTTAGCATTCATAAAAATCGCATATTGAACTCTTAAATCTGGTAAGGTCTGTTGGCTATTTAAAAACAAAAATGTGTCATCCCAGTATTGCTCAACTTCCTTCCAACCTTTCCATATTGCAAATGGTTCAGTACACTGATTTTGAAGAGAAKGTGTTTGATGAAATAGGAACTCTGTGCTCAACACCAACTTCACTGCTTCTACCCTGCCCAATCTCTGAATTTCATCTTGGCAAATTCTTCTTTTGACTACTGCATTGCAATGACCAGGGTAGATGATATAGGCATTTACAAGGTGAATATAAATGCTTTATTTCATGGTAATAAATGCTTCAGGATTCCTTACCACCCCAGAAAGTATTAAAGGTTCCATAACAAATGGGACCATCTGGAATTTTAAATTTGCATGGCCCATAGAGGAACTGGGAAGCGGGGGATGGGGGTGGGGGGTTAGGATGGAAACTCTGTAAGACACAGGTTTTAGATACACCTCAGATGTGTGATGGAGTTGTTCATATTTTTGCCCTCGATGTTTCAGATACAGAGATGATATACATAATTGTAGCTTTCTTACTGGGATACCTTTGTAGTGTGTATATGTATTGAAATATTTTAAATATTAAAAAATTCCCTAAGCTCCTAACAATCTCCACATTTTCGTCTACTTTTCTATATAGTAATGACAGGAATTCACACATATGTATAACTTGGTCTCTCCATCTTCTTTCTTTAGTTATATATATATATATATATATATATATATTCTTTGTATATCATCTTCTAGTGCTTTAAGATATGCCATTTATTTGTGATTGCTTCATATTGGTCATAAATTTTACTACCCCAAACTGTGTACTATTAGTTAAAAATATTAATGAAATGTATTGTCCTATTACTAAAGAAGATGTAGAAACAACATCTAAACTCACCAGCCATTCCAAAGTTCAGCTGAGGCATTTCTTCAGTCTTTGCCTTSTTGGGGCTTGGCAAGTCTCTTGAAGAGTCAGATGGAAAGGCCCAAAGTTTCTTCCGTGGATTGACTGTGGGAGTTGGCGATTTCACAGGCTTGTTCGTAGTAGGACACCATTTGTAGCCAGGATTTGCTTTCATAAATGCATCTTTATACTACAAATAAAAATCAGCAAATTTTAATTTGACAAACAGATTGAAGAAAGTTCAAATAGCTTTCACCCTATTTCCCTCAGTTAGATAACGAATGAGGAAACCACTTTCAGTGACTTTAGCTTTCCTAGTAGAGAAATAATAATCTTACCATGGGGCTCTACAGACAAAGTCCATTGTGGGATAAGAGCACAGAAGGTACATACTTTGTGTCTTATAATCCCCATTTTCTTCAGCTACAAAAGCCTGTCTGATATCGGTGGGGACAACTGATAACTGAAAGAACCAACGTTCTGGAGACAGAAAATATAGGGTTCAAACTCTGATATTTCCACTTCAGGCTATGGTAACCAAGGAGAGAAAAAATGACCTTTCTAGGTCTCAATCTTAGATTGCATCAACAGAGAATACCACCACCAATGCCTAGGGTTATTGTCAAAAATGGTTTATTTCAAAGCAATGTTGGGTACACATCACAGAGTGTGGGTTACATCAGTGCCAGGAGTCAAGATTCTTCCCATAGCTTTATTTAACCTGCTAACTACGGTTTTAAAAAAAATTACATTTGTGTTTTGATGTACTTTGTCAGATAAATGCAGGTAAACTCACAGCAAAATACTTCATTGTGGGATAAAGGAGCCAAGATCAAGAGCAGGAGAAGAGGAACAGATAGGACAACTGACATTAACTTTTCAGTTATTTGAAGACCAGGGGCCATAAGGAGGGAAAAGCACTAGATGCACAGTCTGATGGTCTGAATTCAAATCACCCTCTACTTCAGCCACCTGTGGACATTAAGCAAGTTATGTAATCTTTCTCAATTTCAATTCCTCCATCAATAAAGTGTCAGTGTACTTGCCAACATTTTGTAATGCACACACATGACTGAATATATGAACGAGCTCTGAGAGCTCTGATGTGTGATGTTGCAATTAATCTATCATTAACTTTATATTTTACTTGGAAATTTCAACATCCACTAACATCTTTCTTTCTCCTTTGTATTTCTGTGGCTTGCTACTATAACCCTTTCTTTCAACTCTGATATCTCATTCTCCTTTCACTAAAATGAAATACCATATTGATATTCATTGTATGTTACCAAAAGTTATATTATCTGTTAAAAAAAGATATTTTCCTTGTATTCTTCAACTGTTACATGTAAATACTATTGGATATTTTATTAAATTAATACAATTTTTTCAATCTTATAAGCTTATCTTTTAAAACGGTCACTCTATGCATACGATTAACTAATTTAGTATGTTTCAAATACTTTTTAATTTAACCCAAACTAAAAAAAAAAAATTGCCACTTAACGCTGATCTAAGGAAGAACATGTAGTCCAATTAACTTTTCCCCACCATTTCATTTTAAATCATATAAATGAAAAACTAAATCATGGATAATAATGCAATTTTAATACACAAGGGTCTAATATTATCTCAAGGTTATCTTAGCTCAAATTTTCTCAAAATTTTACCTATAAATTGTAAATTTACCTATCAATGGATATAAAAACTCACAAGATACTCACTTTTCTTATAAAAGTAATTAAAATAATACACAGGACTAGAATTTTTATTACATTCCAGAATGTAATTAGGGGTAGCAAATGTGATATAGGAGATACACTACCACAGTCCATGCATGTGGATGAGGGATTTGCATATTAAGCTATGGCAGACAAATAGCCTTGGCTGCTGTCTATAGGCAGAAAGTGACAAATGATAGGGTGAAGTGAAAATGGAAGTAGCAGACACATACATCATTACTGTGTCCTACTAGAAGGCACATGGGCTGTTTGTCAGATGAACAGTCATTTGAACAAAGGTCACTATTTTATAAACTGACAAAAGACTTTCAAATTTATTAACATATTTGTCATGAGAAATGAATTATCTCTTTTTGGGGGAGAAGTTCAAAATTTTTAAGAAAGTCACAATAGTAAGATGCTGGATGATGTCATCGGCATGCAAATTGCCTGTTTTTTAGGTAGGTGTCCTCTCTTCTTCTCTCCACATTCATTTGTTGAATAAAGTCTTTTTCAGTAAGACATCACTTTTGCTAAGAATTATTTAATAATGTGCTTCAGTGAAAATCAATACTGTTGTCTTTACAAATGAATTATTGACAGCATCAACTATTTTTAGAGCATAGTTGGTGATTCTATTGAAGGCCAGCTTAAACTAATTTACAATGGGGAGCTGATGCTCAAGATAACAGAAAGCAGTGAGAAGCACTACACCACAATCATGTCCCTTATCCTGTATACATTCTACCCACTCTCACTGCAAATACTTTGTGAGCACTAATTAAGGGAGACTTATCAGACACCAATAGAAAAAGGTATGAATTGAGTTCCTGTCTTCATATTGCTTATATTTTTCAATTAATTACACCACAAATATTTCTTTTTACACATGGCCCATTAGCCTCACCCTGACTCAGGCATGCAAAATGGTTTTGTAAAGGTTTGTAAAAGGGAAGCTACACATTAGTGGAAGAATTGACAAAGGTCAAGAGACGATGGAATATGAAGAGTTTTATAGAAAATAGGAACTGAGAATTTACTTAGTGGGCCAATACCTTGGAACTGTATCATAATGTTAATCTTACAGATTCTTAAATACAATATAGATGATCAATACCATGACAACATGTATTCGATTGTGCATGCACATATATGAGTGTATATATATGTTCTGGGTGCTAAGGAATGAACCTATGGCCTCATACAAGCTAAGCATACAATCTACCAGCCCCTTGATCGAGTATATATTGAGCAGAAGAGTTAAAAATGTGGGAGACAGGAAAAGAGTAACACATAATTCTTGTCCTTAATTAGAAAGTTTAAAAATTGGATGGAGAAGCCATAAATTCATGTGAAAATAAAGTAGTATATGAGCATCAAGTGAGGACAGGGGCAAGAAGAGCCTTAAGGTATAAGAATGTCCTTGGAACTAGGCACCTCATCAATCACTTGCTTCAGCTATAAGAAACAACAGAAATGCTTAATCATTTGTTGTGATAAGGTTATTTAGGAAGGGATTACAGAGAAGGCTGGATAAAGGAGAAATGGGAGGAGATTTTGTATATAGTTTGAAGTAAACAGCAAGTGAACTTATTACCATGCTGTTCAACCATGTGGGCAAAATCCATCATCAAAGGACTGAAAGGGTCAAAGAGATAGGCCTTGCTTATCCAGATATCCAGGGCCAAACTGTTCATGCTAGAGGTGGGAGAGAAATTCATTCATCCTCCAAGAACATCAATCACAGGCTAATTTGTTCTAAATATTTCAGTGAAAAATTCTTGTAGGTAACTAAATTCTCGCTATAACACTGACTTTCTAATTTCTACCAATTAAAATGAAAATTTACCTCAGAGGCTCCAGTTTCTTTATGCAAATTTCCAGACAATTAAATGATCTAAAAATACTTTACAAATACAGTTTCTGACTTATATAAGTTACTTGGAAATGCTAACTCCCTTCTCTTTTACCTCAACTACTACTGTATTTCATTAGCAATAATTACAAATTTGTATGTCAGTTATTGATTTTTCTGTTATTCATTACTGGCATTAAAGACATATCTTTTGTCACATCGTTTTCTGTCCTACATTTGAAAATGGCATTATTATATAACAATATTATATCCAGCTAGGTGCGGTGGCACATGCCTCTAATCCCAGCAGCTCAGGAGGCTGAGGCAGGAGGATAGCGCCAGCCTCATCAAAAGCAAGGTGCTAAGCAACTCAATGAGACCCTGTCTCTAAATAAAATACAAAATTTTATTTAGGACTGGGGGTGTGAGTCAGTAGTTGAGTGCCCCTGAGTTCAATCCCCGGTACCAAAAAAAAAAAAAAAAAAAAAAAAAGAATATTATGTCAATCTTTATCCAGCTAGGTGCGGTGGCACATGCCTCTAATCCCAGCAGCTCAGGAGGCTGAGGCAGGAGGATAGCGCCAGCCTCATCAAAAGCAAGGTGCTAAGCAACTCAATGAGACCCTGTCTCTAAATAAAATACAAAATTTTATTTAGGACTGGGGGTGTGAGTCAGTAGTTGAGTGCCCCTGAGTTCAATCCCCGGTACCAAAAAAAAAAAAAAAAAGAATATTATGTCAATCTTTAAAAAATGTGGATTCAATATTACTTTTCCAGATCAAATACAAATGTAAATTTGATCTATGAAGCAACCTAAAATGAAAGAAATATTCACCTATTGTTCTCCAGTTGTTTATTTTTAATTGGTGGAATTCTATTTAAATGTCCACTAATATTTCTAGTTGTTATTACAGTCTAGATCTTCTCAACAGAGTGAATGAGAAAATAACAAACCTGTAAGATTTAATAATAAGGGATGCTGAGAATGTCTGTATAAATAAAGATGACAACTCTGGTGCAAATATGAAAAAAAAATCTACCAGAATTTTGAGAGATTACACAGGAAACTATCTGATTTTTTAAAAGTTATTATACATATTTTATTTCATACATACTCTACAGCAGGCTAACTGAACAACAGCATAGTAAGTTCTAAGACAGCTGTATCTCCTCTCCATCAGCAGGCAGAAATCACATTATGCAAGGGGAAAAAGGAAAGAGTGATACTTGAGAAGTGTCACTAAGCAAGTGCAGATTTAGTCCGAGGATCTTTCCATCACAAAAAAATTGGACATTATCRTTAGGATAATATGACTCAATTCACTATGTGATGTGAATTATCCTTGATAGCTGTTTCTAATAGGAAGAAAATTAATTAGACTTTCACATGACAGAATACTGAATTAAGTTTATGGTTTTGGCTGGATAAAAATATTCTAAGTTATACAGTAGCCTGAAAAACTTTAATGATAAAGCTATTCCCATAGAAATTATATACATAAAACAGTGGCTTCAATACCATGATCAGAGAATTGTTTGGTTGATCTATGGTGGAGAAGTCAAAGGAAAAACTGAAATCAAGGGAGTTATCTACAGGTGCTTGAATTGTGTAAGG